CAGCACTTCTTGATAATTTACGTTAGCATTTTCAAAGGCCAGTTGCTTAAATGACTCCTCAGCCACATCTGCATTCTCTACAGGCCTTTGTGAAGATTTTTGCAACCTATCTATAAATGCATCATAGTCCATAGAAATTCATGCCCCTGACATTCATTACTCTGCCTATCTGCCTCTACAGAGAAAACCCTCCTATTCTATCGGCTTTTGTGTCCATCCCCTCCCCACGCCCTGAACATTGTTGCAAACAGACAAAAGTATGAGTGCCCCCCAAGAGGGGTCATCTGTCTGGCTGTGTTCCTTGTGGGCTTCCTGTAGTTCCTTGGCAATAAGCAATTGGATATAGAACCTCCACTGGATTAAACACATAGAGAGGGACTGCCATTTAGCCTTTAGGGAACTACCACAGAAACACAGTTAACAGACCTACTCATGCTCCACCACAAGAAGCTCTGGAGGCACAAACACATTCAACACAAACCCTCACATTCATTCAGAGGTTACAGATTTCCTACCCATAGCAGCCAATTACCAGATGAGCCCTAACTGCCGGTAGCTATGACTGGAGGAGAGTGATCGGGTCTCCTCTTCTACTTGTCCAAGTAGGTCTGTCTGACTAGGGCTCTACAGATTTCTGGGGTTTACCAGATTACCAGATTACCAGAGCTGACCAGGGTTGATGCATCAGGGTCCAGGAGTTGGTCCTTTTCTCCAACCAGAGTCTGACAATTCAGGAACACTCGGCCTTGGGGCAGGCACCCCAGCTGAGGGATCCCATCAAATGAGATGAGGGCATGCCTATCTCTCAACACTGTAGTGCCCATCTCAGACAGGGGACGCCCTGGGATTGGTGGCTCAAAGGGCCAGCCTGATTCCACCTCCTGGCCAATGCACCAAAATGTTGCAGAAAACTGGGCACCAAGGAACAGAAATGGCACTCAGAGAGATAGAACTGTTTTATTACTCCAATGGGCAAAGAGTTAATACTCTGAATGCCCAGCTCTGGCTGAGAGTTGGACACAGTTTTTTATGAATGAATTGGGGAGGGTAATTTTCAGCACGCTTGGCATGTCCTATCAGGGAAGGAACTCAGTGTCTGCCCTAATACAGAGCTGGTAGAGAAGCAGGGAATCCAATGTGCTCAAGGCCTCTGGTACCTCCAAAGTTCAGGTGAGGGTCAGCCAGCTCGCATGGAAACAGAAAGCCCAGGCAACTATCAGCCCTGGGTTGCTTCAAGGTTGCTCACAAGTTTCTCCATATCAGAGCAGAAGGTTCAGGCAGTTATCAGCTTTGGGTTGCTCCACATTAGTTTGTTTTTGCCAGAGGGCATGAGTACTCATGTGAGAGAGAGAGAGAGAGAGAGAGAGAGAGAGAGAGAAGAGAAAGAACTTCCAGTGGAGCATGCTCACACTGCAATCTTTTTCCTTCCTTATTTCTAACCCATGAAGATTTAGGACATGCATATTTGAGTATTTTTACTAGGTTTAAAATCTGTTGACTGTTGTCTTTAAAACTTTACAATTGTTAACCCAGTCTTCTGGCTTCCATAGTCTCTGAGAAGTCCACTATAGCATTTATATCAATATATGTGTCCTTTTCCTCTGGCCACCTTCATGATTTATGCTTTGTCTTCACCATTTAGAAGCTTGAGTATAATATACCTAGGTGTGGATGTGATTTATTGTTATAATAATTATTAGTAGGTGTCGTTATTGTCAATACTTTCTCTGCGTGCTTTTCTCTAAGATTCTTAGATCTATGGTGATTTAGTTTCTGTTATTAGCATGTTTATTAGTCCCGTTCTCTTTCTGTTCTCCTTCTGGGACTCCAAGTAAAGATATTTTAAATTGCTTAGTGTTGTTCTGCATCCTTTGAATGCTAAAATCTGTTTTGTTTTTTCACTCTTTTAACATTTTAGTTAGAGTAATTTTTAAGAGGTTTTTGCCTTAGGGTGCATGTGCTCACCAGATAGAGAGGCAGAGATAGTGAGGGGGAAAGTAAGAAATCACCACCCAGAGAGAATTGACAAGCTGCAATTCTTCTCCTCCATTCTCCTCCCAGGATCTTGTGCACACATACACACACACACCCAGCATGAGTATCAAGCCACTGGGCCTGGCACTCGAACCATGGTTGGCCATGTGGGAGTCCAGCAACCATAACTGCTATGCTATCTGCTGGTTCCAAGTTTGAGTAATTTTTAATGATCTGTTTTCAGTTCATTGATTCTACCCTCTGCTGTGTCAAGTCCACTGATAACCCTGCTATAGGCATCTTCATCTCTACATCTATGTTTTTCATTAATTTATATTATTATCATTTATATGGTGTTAGGGAACATCAGAAACACCTTGCTCCTAGAACACTGTAGATCTATGGATTCTGAGTAAGTGAATGTATGCTCAGGAAATGTGGCCTTTCTGCTTGCAAATAACAGGAGGCCATTAGATGAGTGTGCAATCTGATAAATATGTTTTCCAGATTCCAAGGTGTTCTGTCCAGCCTCTGGCATCATTTAGCCATGTCCCACTAATCAATACCAAAACTAACCTGTTCCAGGAAATCCCTTTGTTTTCCGAATTCTTTAAAAAATAACCTTCCTTCCTCCTTGGCCCTAAGAAATATGGAGGAAGAGAGAGGCTTAGCAGGCACATCCCTGGTGTGACCTCCCTCTCCCTCTTGACTCGGATTTTTGTGTCTCAACTAGTTCCTCTGTGTGGGCTTCAGGTGACTCTCTGCTGGACAGAAGTCGCAATAGAGCATACGTGCTCACCAGAGAAAGCCAGAAAGAGAATGTGAGAGAGCAAGCCACCAGGTGCAAGACTCAAATCACGGTGAGTCATGTAGGAGTCCAGGGCCTTAACCATCACGCCACTTCTGGTCCCTCCATGTCATTCTTTCTCATCACTTCCACTTCTCTACTGAAATGGAACATCTGATGTTGTAGGTCACCCATCACCTTCCCCAAACATCCAGAACCTTTTACATATCCTTTTAGTGAAAATCGTAGAGAAGTTTCTTCAAGTGGGGTCTTCTGGCTTCCATAGTCTCTGAGAAGTCCACTATAGCATTTATATCAATATATGTGTCCTTTTCCTCTGGCCACCTTCATGATTTATGCTTTGTCTTCACCATTTAGAAGCTTGAGTATAATATACCTAGGTGTGGATGTGATTTATTGTTATAATAATTATTAGTAGGTGTCGTTATTGTCAATACTTTCTCTGCGTGCTTTTCTCTAAGATTCTTAGATCTATGGTGATTTAGTTTCTGTTATTAGCATGTTTATTAGTCCCGTTCTCTTTCTGTTCTCCTTCTGGGACTCCAAGTAAAGATATTTTAAATTGCTTAGTGTTGTTCTGCATCCTTTGAATGCTAAAATCTGTTTTGTTTTTTCACTCTTTTAACATTTTAGTTAGAGTAATTTTTAAGAGGTTTTTGCCTTAGGGTGCATGTGCTCACCAGATAGAGAGGCAGAGATAGTGAGGGGGAAAGTAAGAAATCACCACCCAGAGAGAATTGACAAGCTGCAATTCTTCTCCTCCATTCTCCTCCCAGGATCTTGTGCACACATACACACACACACCCAGCATGAGTATCAAGCCACTGGGCCTGGCACTCGAACCATGGTTGGCCATGTGGGAGTCCAGCAACCATAACTGCTATGCTATCTGCTGGTTCCAAGTTTGAGTAATTTTTAATGATCTGTTTTCAGTTCATTGATTCTACCCTCTGCTGTGTCAAGTCCACTGATAACCCTGCTATAGGCATCTTCATCTCTACATCTATGTTTTTCATTAATTTATATTATTATCATTTATATGGTGTTAGGGAACATCAGAAACACCTTGCTCCTAGAACACTGTAGATCTATGGATTCTGAGTAAGTGAATGTATGCTCAGGAAATGTGGCCTTTCTGCTTGCAAATAACAGGAGGCCATTAGATGAGTGTGCAATCTGATAAATATGTTTTCCAGATTCCAAGGTGTTCTGTCCAGCCTCTGGCATCATTTAGCCATGTCCCACTAATCAATACCAAAACTAACCTGTTCCAGGAAATCCCTTTGTTTTCCGAATTCTTTAAAAAATAACCTTCCTTCCTCCTTGGCCCTAAGAAATATGGAGGAAGAGAGAGGCTTAGCAGGCACATCCCTGGTGTGACCTCCCTCTCCCTCTTGACTCGGATTTTTGTGTCTCAACTAGTTCCTCTGTGTGGGCTTCAGGTGACTCTCTGCTGGACAGAAGTCGCAATAGAGCATACGTGCTCACCAGAGAAAGCCAGAAAGAGAATGTGAGAGAGCAAGCCACCAGGTGCAAGACTCAAATCACGGTGAGTCATGTAGGAGTCCAGGGCCTTAACCATCACGCCACTTCTGGTCCCTCCATGTCATTCTTTCTCATCACTTCCACTTCTCTACTGAAATGGAACATCTGATGTTGTAGGTCACCCATCACCTTCCCCAAACATCCAGAACCTTTTACATATCCTTTTAGTGAAAATCGTAGAGAAGTTTCTTCAAGTGGGTACAATCATCCTGTGGTTGATGTTCTCAGTGGTCTTATATTCTTCCGCTATCCCAAACTCAAATTTGAGAAATTTTTTAAAACTTAGCTGAATTATTCTATTTTGACCGGGGCATCTGTGGTCCACTGTGTGCCCCAGGTGTGCAAATGCTACTATTTTGTCCTTGGAGGTGTCAGTCCTTCCTTAGATTATTGTAAAACACTTCCTCTGCACCTTTAGCTATCTGATGGGTTCAGAAAAAGTTGTGATTTTGCAGATTACCTGACTTTACTTTTTTGTTTTAAGGGTAAGAACATGACTCTTTCCAATGTTCTTCTTCATCTTATGTGGAAGCAGTATTATTCATTGATTATTTAATTGTATTTCTCCGAGTATTAGTGAAGTTGACCATTTTTCATGGTGACAGGCATTCCACATTCCTATGAGTCTGGTTATGTGTGAATTTAGCTCATCTTGACTTAGACAAATAGTAAATATTTTCTGTTAGTTATTTAATTCATTCAACAGGATTTACTGAACACTGCAACATCTGTATATATCTACATAGAACAGAGCCCTACCCTAAACTAAACTAGACTATGGGCTGTCATGCATGAGAAGTCCACTTTTATTCTGATAATATGTCAACATCTGGGGTTTATGCAACAATCTTCCTGTCCTGAGTAATTCGGTGGATCTGGGGCAGGGGGAGCCTGGAAACTGCCGCTCTCACGATGTAGAGATGCTTCATCAGGTGTTCTTCAATTAAATGCTGCTCAGACCAGTTGGCTGGAATTGGTCCTTTTCATTTCTTCTTTTTAGTTTTAATAACCTGGGTGGAGAAAAAAATAGTGTGAATGTATTTGAGTAGTTACCCTATCCCTGTGCATAGTAACAATGTTCTCCTGAAGTGTGCCTTTCTTCTACTCTTTTCATAAAATTCTTCTTCCCTCCGTCCTAGTACAGTGTTCATGCTTGGATAAGTCTCCCGAGGTTACCATCTACCCTGAGATGTGCACTTTGACTTAGCATGGGCACATCCGTAGGCTTCTCAGGTGCCTGCCTTCACTCTTATGAGTAGGGATGGCAGTCAGTGTAGGTGATGCCGAGACACAGGGAAGAGACCAAGTAGCAGCAACAGGACGAGGAGCAGGGTGCAATGAAAGGGCAGGAGTGGGGTTTCCATCGACTCGACTGCCCTGAACTGTGGCAGGTGCAGGGATGGTTGGGCCGACTCTGAGAAATGCTCTGTGGTACTTTACATGCATTAGAGTGATTTGCCCGCCTCTGGCTGAGCTGTCTGCACGAGGCCCGCCGTGTTGCCAAAACACACTGTGGACTCTTCACGCACCACAGCATGTGTGCCTCGGGAAGCCTCGTCCTCGGGGTATCTAGGAGGCGTATTTTCTAAACGGAAGGTTCCTCATTTCTGGGAGTTGCGGGTATACTAAATATCAAGGTTTCCATACCATGTCCTGTTCAATAGCATCTGTCCAGCTTTCTGATGGAAAAGGAAAAATATCCCCATGGAGAGTTCACCTTGGCCATGCAGTTCCCACCTTAATGTCGCTATGCGCTCCAAATTTCAGCTGTAGTTTTTCTCCATTTCTTGCCAGCTCGAGGAAAGTAAGTCGAAGCTTATCCCCTTCCTCACATTCTATTTTGTTCTGTTTTCCAGGCACCAGTACTTCCATCCTCCCTGTGTTGTCACTTAGGTCAAATAATACAGAATTCTTCTGCTCTGTTTTCTGCAAAAGAAAATCAATGTCCAATCTCTGATAAGTTGACTAAGGAAGACCACAGCAATCAGATTTCAAATGTATCAAAAGCAGCATCCAGAAAGAAATATAAGAAAAACATAATCTAGCTTTGAAGCTGAGAAGTCTGGGTCTATGGATGTTAGCACTTGCTGATAAAGGAAGCAGACGTCTCCCTATGGGAGCCAGGATGGCCCAGAGACGCAGCAACTGGTATATGGAAAAGATGTAGCTTCTCTGGGGCCCCTGTGCAAAATAAAGGGAAAGAAGACCTGGGTTAGAGAAGACCCGTTTAAAGAAATGAATGTAGGAGATGCATGAGTCAATGACGCAGACCCAGTAAAGAGTCTAAATGAAGACTCTAGGACAAGAAATAATTCACAATCAAGTCCAGACCAAAAGTATGCCCTCAATGAGAAAACTGACATTTTCAGTTTTAATTTTATGGGCTAGGCAAATATACAAGAGGTCTTCAAAATATTCACAGAAAATTCATATTATAAAAAAACGAATTGATTTTTTAAAAATATTTGCACAAAAAACTTGTACTTTTTTTAGATTTATTTTATTATTATTATTATTATTATTATTATTTAATTTGACCAGAGAGAAACACACACACACAGAGAAAGTAATCTACCAGGCTCAGGACTCAAACTGTAGTTGACCATGTGGGAGTCCAGCACCTTAACCACCATAGCACCTGCTGGGTCCTAAACTTGTACTTTAACTTGGTTTTTCCACAGACTTTTTTAAGCACCCTCATATTCATGATGGTTGGCCAAAGCAAAACCGGGATAAAGAGTGTGACCTTCCTTTCCAAGGTCATTGCATGCATAAATTTTCTATGAAAATAGATCTTTTCTATGAGTTCCTCTGTAATTAACCCAGACAGCGAGGTTCCCGGAGGTTCCTGGATGCAAGGCCAGCAGGTTCCTTCTCTGTGGTTCCTCAGACCCTGCCCTAGAGCTGTCAAAGTCACACAAGCCCAGTTCCCCTAGGCTCAGAATCATCATACTGTATTATTTCTCCCTTTTAATAAGTCTCCTCATAAAACTTTTCTATGTTCTTCATTTAATCACAGTACTTTAATATTGCCCTACTTATTGCTCTTACAGGTCAATTAATCTGGTTTATTACTCAACTCCAGCTACTTTGCATTCACAACAGTCACTTAAAATAAAGATGATATATATAAAGTACAAAAATAACACAGGAAGTAAAAATTACTTGTGTATAATCTTTTTCAGAGGCTACAGGGATAAAAGAAAGCTGAATCAGGATTATGACAGTATTTTGAAAATCAAAGTGGTTTTTTGAGTTTCTGTGTATGAGTTTGTATATGCACATTAACTCTGCACCACTTTAGTACTTTGAGATTTGTTTTCAATGTTTCCACTGGGAAAGACATTAATACTTCTTTTTTTAAGAATTATTTGATTTAACTTTACTTATTTAGTTAGTTATTTTAATTTGACCAGAGTGAGAGAGAGAGGGAAAGTAAGAAAGCAAGTTGCCAAGTCTGGGACTAGAACCACAGTTGGCCATGTGGGAGTCTAATGCCCTCAACCACCATGCCACCTGCTGTCCTCAAAATAGTTTTTTTTAAGTCCCTTTAAAGCTCAGAGGTAAGAATTTTTTTTTTTTTTGGAGAGGTTTTTGCTATAGGGCACGTGCACTCACCAGACAGAGAGAGACAGAGAGACAGAAAGCGATAAATCACCCCCCCCAGGGGGGATGGCTATGCCACAATCCCTTCTCCTCCATTCTCCTCTTGGGATCTTGGGCGCACACGCGCCCGGCATGAGTTTTAAGCCACCGGGTCCAGGACGTGAACCGTGGTCGACTACGTGGGAGTCCAGCGACATAGCCATTACACTAACTGCTGGTCCCCAGAGGTAAGAATTTTTATCCCTGTTAACCAATATAAAATTAGATAAAGGGACTTACCTTCTGGACTACATATATCCCATTCACAATGGTTCCAAGGGGCTGAGTTTGAAGCTTATTGATCTTTAGGGTTTGACCAGCTTTTCTGATAATGCTTTTTGGGACAGTGACCTCTTGGTTCGGTTTAGCATCAAACACGCGTGAGGCACTGTTCACCTCCAGTATGCCATTGTGCCTATAATAGTAGTTTGATATTATAATTGTTCTCTTTGGGGTGAAGTTGTCTTTTAGCTGTGTGTTAAAAACTTTTACAAGGAAGAATTCTTTCTCAGTAGCCACCGTAGCATGGAACATCTCCTGCTTCCCTTCCTGGGTCTTGAACTCAAAGGGATTCATTGCTTTCAGCACCATGACTATCAGACCGCCTTTTTGCAATCCTTCTCTGGGAGAATCCTGCTCGGCCACCATCTGTTTCTGCTGAGACTAAAGACAAGAGAAGAAAGATATCAGCTGTGAGTAAAGATGGCTCTGTCGAGGGAACCTTACTTCACTCAGTGTCAAACCTCAAGAATTCAGTTAAAGGGAACCAGCAGTTAGCGTAATGGCTATGTCGCTGGATTCCCACGTAGTCGACCGCGGTTCGTGTCCTGGACCTGGTGGCTTAAAAAACTCACGCCGGGCGCGTGTGCGTGCGTGCCCAAGATCCCGAGAGGAGAATGGAGGAGAAGGGATTGCGGCGTGACCATCCCCCCTGGGGGGTGATTTCTCGCTTTCTGTCTCTATGTCTCTCTCTGTCTGTCTGGCGAGCGCACGCGCCCTACAGTGAAAATCTCTCCAAAAAAAAAAAAAAAAGAATTCAGTTAAAGACAGGTGGAATCAAAATAAGAGACAGAGAAGAGTAGGAAGAAATGTGAGGCCTAGAATTATGTACGTGGAGAAGAAAATGCGGAAGGACGATTTCAAGTTCTGTGTGTAGGCGAAGCTGTGCAGTACATTTTGGAAGCAGACTTCCTGAACCCAGATCCTTGCTTTGCTCTCTAGTATAGGTGAAGAACACACCAGATTTCAGAAGCATTTATGAGGCGGCAGAGTAAATCTGGTCCCGCCTTCTTCTATTGAATCCATTAGGGCAGGAGACATCATTTCTCACACCAAGACTGTCCTGAATATCAGTTTTATTCTGTTATAAAAGTGAGAGAACCCAGGGACCTGCACAGGGCTCTCTAAATTCCTTGGGAGAGCCATGGGCGTCAGTTAAATGTGAGCAGAGAGATCCAGGTCTAGAGATCTAGAGATCTTACAAGTGAGTTTAAATGGGAAACTTAAAAGGAGAAATTCTACTTTTATGTATTGTCTTTAGAAATAATGAATTGTGGGTTAAAGTAAAATAATTTTATCATTTATTTGTTACTTAAAACTGAAATAATTTAAATATCCAAAAATGGATTTGGTTAAATAAAATCTGGTGGAGTCACATAGTACATTACTATGCAAATATTTAAAATGCTTTAAAGAAATAATGTGATAAACTCTAATAACTGATTCAATAAAGAGCAAGGTCCTAAGCAGATTATACAATGTGTTTCTTATTGGATGAATTAATAATTACATCACACACACAGTAAACAAATATTTACCGGTGTCAGATATGGTTTTCTCTAGATGATAGGACTACAGATAATTTTATTTTCATTGTATTTTCTGTTTTCCCAAATTAATAGAAATAAGATGGGGATTTTTGTTGTTTAAGGATGTTTTAGAATCAAATATTACTTTCAAATTTCTGTCCATAATCAGAGGAAAATGTATGAAACAAACAAACAAAAGCAGAGACATATGAGGTCAAATATAAGTTTCTGAATTGAGTGTCCAATGGGACTCAGTCTGTGGGTCCCTTAAGGGACCCTGGGAACAGTCTAAGACACTCAGTATGAGAAAATGCAGGGAAATGCCAGCGTCACTGAGGTTCACTACTAAGGTTCTTCTCTTTGGTCCTATGTATCTTTAGTTGGGCCTTCAGACTAAATAATGCATATTTTAATAATGATATGGCTTAGTGGTTATGTCGCTGGATTCCCACATGGCCCATCGCAGTTGGAATCCCGGACCTGGAGGCTTAAAACACTTCTGGTGTGCGTATATGGATGCCCCAAATCCTGAGACAAGGGAGGAGAAAGGATTGCAGCATGGCCATGCTTCCCAGGGGGTGATTTCTCACTTTCTCTATGTATCTCTCTCTGTCTCTCCAACAAGTGCACACACCAATGGCTAAAAAATCTCTCTATCAAGAAAAACTATATAATGATGATAACTGAAATATAGCACATATTCCTGGATCTTGTTTCCCTGATGGTTCCACAAGTTTCTGAATAAGCCCAGAGAAAGCGACTGCTTTAGACAAAGAGGTTGGAGTATGTACACCGATGGTCCCCAGGTTAGGAGGGTTCGACTTCCAATTTTTTGACTTTGGCTTGTTGGAACATAACCCATTGTAAATCAAGAAGCATCTACATTGTGTTGCCAGGGTTAAATGCAACTTTTTTATTTTTTTAAAGTTTTATCGGAGAGTGTGTGCATTTGCTGGAGAAAGACAGAGAGAGAAGAAAAGTAAGAAAGACCTCTCCATGGGTCATGGTCACACCGCAATCCCTTCTCCCTTTCTCCCTCCTTTCTGGATGTTGGGCATGCATACTTGCCCAGTAAGCCGCCGGGTCCAGGACTTGAACCACACAGTCAGCCATGTGGAATCATCCACCTTAACCACCAGGCCACAGGCTGACTCTAAATGCATTTTTTACTTGTGATAGCTTCAAATTATAATGGGTTGGTGAGGACAGAAGCCCATCCTTAATAAAGGAGGATTTGTGATCAGTTTTGGTAACTCAGACATCTGTAGCATGTTTGATATCTGCTTCATGGGAAATGGAATGACATGTGTTTGGTGAGTTCTGGGCGGGCCTCTCAGGGGTAGCCTGCTGCTCCCTCAGAGCTAAGGTAAGCATTCTCACAGACCAAGGCTTTGTCCAAGCATTACTCCCTCAGATGTCCTTGGTCAATGTGGGTGGACAACAAAGAGGCCCCACTGCAGTCACAGCAGGCCTGAGGCATCTCAGCTCCTGAGCAACCTGGGGGATGAGCTGAGGGCTTTGCCGCAGGGCTTTGGTCTTGCAATTCTCCCTCACCTTGACTGCTTTCACTTGCCCACAGGTATTAATCCTGGAGACACCAAATAAACCTCCTGAAAACAACTGTCTATCTCAGTTTTCTTCTTATGCAACCCAACTTGCAACGACAGGTTAATGTGTCCAGGGCCAGGCAGAGACCAGGAACTCCGCTGGTGTTTACTCTGATGACGCTGAAGGGATTTCTCCTGTTTCCCAGGCAGGCTCTGCGCATTACCACCTTGCCCCCCTCACTCGTATGCTGTGAGAAGAAAGGCAGAGGCCCTGACATGAGAAACGGCAAGGACAGTGACTGGGGGTGTTCTCGTGAGCCCTCAGGCCCCCCACCCCCTAACGCCCTGTCTGACCTTACTGCGAGGAGGGACTCCCAGTGCTGCAAGCGGCACCCTGCTGTCATTCCTGGCAGCTGCAGAGGCACCAGGCCTCCTTGTGGCTTGACTTCTCTTTTTCACAGTCATTGTTTCTTTTTCACATTCACATTTATCAACTGATTAAAAAAAAAAAAAAAAATTGCCAAAGAAGCCTGTAAGAAATGAACAAAGCCAGCTGAGAAGTTTAAATATCATCTCCTCTTGGGCCAGCTGGTAGCGTGGTAGTTGAGGCAGCTGGAGCCCACATGGCTGACTGTCAGGTTCTAGTCCTGAAACGTGGCACTTGGAAAACCCAGTGGGCATGTGTGTGCATGCCCAAAATTCCGACTGGAGAATGGAGAAGAGACTGTGCCTTGGTCATTCCCCAAAAGGAGCTTTCTCACTTTCTCTCTCTCTCACTGTATGTGTGTGTGTGTGTCTCCTGTGAGTTAAAGCACCCTCTAGCAAATTAAAATTATACATATATACAATTTTATATATTATATTATAATGTTATATAATTATATATATATTATATATATATATACTATCAACATTATCATCTCTCAAGAACAACTGTGATGCGAGCAGTTTGGCAGACTAGGAGTTGTCCAGCTCCAGTGACCCGCACAGAAAGCCAACAAGCAGCTAGAATCCATTTGTGAATATCCCAGAATTTGGATATGATGCTAAGACAGCTTTCAGATCACAGAACTGAGAAAAGCTGCATTAAAAGGTGAAAAGAACAATTTCACTTTTATCATATCACCTGCGGCCCAAGCCAGCACAGAGGTGTATACGAAGCATCCCCTGAGCCTACGATTTCTACAGCAGTTAAAGAGAGCTGGAGGTAAGCATCTGGCCTCCCAGGATTCTGGGGTGCTTTGCTGAGGCCCACTTCTGCCTCATAAGGGATATTATCTGGGCAAAAACAACTTTGGTTAGCTAGAAACAAGGAAGGGTGGGTCTCACTCTAACCAACACGCGGGTCGCAGTGGTGGCTCTGCCCCGATAGTGAAGGTGCCACTCGGGGAGCCCAGCCAATAGCACAGCCTACAGGAAGCACCAGCAATGGCTCTGCCAGGCTTCAGTCCCCAGCCGGCTTCCCCACCCATCTTTGGTGCTCTGCTTAAGGATTCCCCAGGCCAGGAGGCAAGTGCATGGAGGGGAATTACTTGGCTTCCTAATTCCAGAGACAGGGCTAAATCCTCCCCTACCCCACCTCCCAAAACTCCTTGCAGTCCTGGATAAGGGTAAATTGTGCTGGGAGGCAAGTCTACTGCAAATATCCACAGGAGAGTGTCTGGCTTTGCTAGACATGAAGGACTGAGAAATGACCTGGTACTGCTTCAGAGCTCCATGTCAGGCTTCCCTAAGTCAACAGGCAAGACTGTGTCCCATATATCTGCAGAACAAGGCATCTGATCCCTCAAATCTAAAATTCTGACCAATCCTAAAAATTGGACAGTCGCTTGTACCTGTAGTCCCAGCTACTCAGAGGCTGAGGCAGGAAGATAGCAACCCAGAGAGACCCTGTTTAATTAAAAATAATAAAATTAATAATAATAGTGTTTTTTTAAGTTCATTGTTAAGTAGGCATTTGATCTTGGATAGAATTTAATGACTTCTTGTTCAACATATAGAGATACTAGTCTTGGGTTTTCAACCTGGTCCAAATGGGGGCATTTTCAGCTAATGAGGATAATAAATTCTCAGAATCATTAGATCTGCAAAATGTGTGTGTGTAGGGAGGTGACAGCAGAAAAAATTGGTGATATTTTTCCAGAGAATAATGAACCTTTTAATTAAATATCCTCAGCCTGTGTTTGCCAATATTCCTAGAGTCTTATTTCTTCCCCTAGATCAAAACAAACAATATAAATAAATAAATAAATAACACATCACATACACCCATTCAAAACAGGCGGTTATTTGGAGAAACAGTGTGTAGTCCCTGCCACCTTGTGGTAAACTCTGGGTACTGCAGCTCCAGCCTAGAAAAAGACGTTGTGAATATTTAAAAACCTACTTGATTTTTTTGTCTTTTTTTTTTTTAATTTTTCAGAGGGCACACATGCCTTCCAGAGAGAGAGAGAGAGAGAAATAACACCCCAAGGGAGTGTGGTCACGCTGCAATCTTTTTTCCTTCACTTCTCCATCCAGTCTGGATTTTAGACACACATGCGCTTGACATTTTTTTCAATACTTCATGGCTAAGAATCCAACCAGGCTGAGTCATGTAGGATCCAGCTGCTCATGTGTGCCAGAATAAGTCCCTTCTCTGAGGTGTCTTTGAAACTATATAACAGTTTCTACCTTCATAGACCTACATGCTGTGTGGTCACTATGTGTCATTGTGTCATGTAGCCTTCATAGGAATCATATGTGAGGCGTCACTTGGTCACATGGTATAATGTGAATTGTATGTGTATACCTACACATAGGACATACAAACTATTGCAATTTTCCTGTTAAATAGAGTTGCACTTAGCACCCCAAAATTGTTGCATCTGGAGTCTCTCGTGTGGAAGACTTGGGGATTGTCTCCTTTCCTGGGTCTTGTTAGGCATTCATACATAAAGCCAAGATATAGCCATTGTACTCGGACAGCAAAATCAGGAATTAAAACAGAGCGTAAGTACTTCAAATAGAAATGATCAGTGGTTTATTGAAATATATAGATAGATGTGTGTGTGTGTGTGTGTGTGTGTGTGTGTGTGTAAACAGTCTTTGTGTTCTGGGACATTCATACCATCACCTGTATCAGAAACAGGAAGTCTAATCTGAAGGAGAGAATGTGTGAATAGAAGGCCCCCCGACCCCGAGAGGATCGGTGGCGTCACAACGGGCTGCGGAGAGGAGAGAAAGTGGCAGACTGAGGAGGGACGCAGGTGTCTGGTACCCCAGTCTCGGTTTTCAGTGCTACCCTTTCTCTGCATTATTGTCAACTGTTTGATAAATGTCGACAGCATTACGTATCGTGTCACGAGTGCTTTGAGAAGTCCATGTCGAAGCCCTGCATCTGTGGTCACTGCAAGTAAGCTGAGGACAAACACAGGCAATGTGAGGAGATTAGGAGATGGTAGTGGGGGCCTAAGGGCTGGAACAAGAGTTGACAGATGCTGGGATGGATTAGAGAAGTTTATAACCAATGCTTCCTGGAAATATTCCCAGTAAATAGTGGGAAAGGGGCAGGTGCATGCCTTGAGTCACTTCCTACCCAGGCACTGGGGAACTGATCCACTGACGTCAGGAAAGGAAAGGCCCGAGTGACAGAGGAGGAGACACGAACACGCCGCAATACCTTTCTCCTTCTCTTCCTGAAGACGCTTTGCCACGTGCATGTATTTCAACCTCTGGAAAATGTGAATGGTCTTCGTCACCGCAGACACCACTCCGGCATTTTGAATCATCAAATTAGCTAGTTCTGTCCTGGGTGCAGTTTTTAGTTTGCCCTTTGGGATGTCAAACTCATCTGGAAGGAAGAACTTAAACCGGTCCAGCTCCTCGTCAGTGATGCCGTCCAGGCCCGTCAGTAACAGGATCTCCTTGTACTTACTCTCCATCTTGCAGCTCTTGGTTCAGCCTACAGAAATCAAAAGCATGCCAGATTACACCGCCAGAAGTGATTCGACATCCAAAACGAAGCAAGGTGAGTTGTTAAAATCTTCCTAAAGAGGAATGAAGTATTTATTTGGGTCAACTTCTTGCTTAAGAACTTCTTAGACAAGATGGACTCTGTTACCAGGAAGAAGTTCACCAGGAGCCATCCAATGTCTTTAGAATTCTTAGAGAACAGGCTATAACAGAGTTCTCCTCTTATTTTTAAAAATGGATTCCTAGAGACATAATTAATGATCAACACAGTGCATGTATTTGAAGTACACAACTTGATCAGTGTGGGTATATATACATATACTTGATAAAATCAAATTTATCCATTTGTTCCTTCATAGTCATGCTTTGGATGTCATGCTTGAAAAGCTTTTCCAAACTCAAGATCAGAAGATTTTCTCCAATGCTTTTCTCTAGAAATTTTATAATTTGGGGTTTTACATTAAGATCTATGACCTATTTGAAGCTATTTTTCATATGGTATGAAGTATAACTCAAAGTTCATTTTTTCCCCTCATAGATAGGAATTTTCCCAGGATCATATGTTCAAAAGACTATCTGTTTTGGGGACCAGCTGTTAGCATAATGGCTATGTCGCTGGACTCCCATGGAGTCAACTGGGATTCATGTCGTGGACCCGGTGGCTTAAACTCACGCCGGGCGTGTGTGTGTGTACGTGCCCAAGATCCCGAGAGGAGAATGGAGGAGAAGGGACTGCGGCGTGGCCATCCCCCCTGGGGGGTGATTTCTCGCTTTCTGTCTCTCTGTCTCTCTCTGTCTGTCTGGCGAGCGCACGCGCCCTATAGCAAAAACCTCTCCAAAAAAAAAAGACTATCTGTTTTTTGGGTGTTTTTTTTTTTTTTAACTGACTTGGTTATTTTTGTTTTCATGTTTTATTTTTTTGTTAGTTAGTTAGTTTGTTTTTTGTCAAGCATCAAGTGTTCATTTATAAGTGGATTTATTTCCAGATTCTTTATTCTGATCATAAACCTAATTCTCAATCTTGTTACTAATACCACATTGTAGTACTTTGACTGTGTATGTATAATCTCTAAAATACTACACAAAACAGTAGGAAAAGTTCAGCAATGCTTCCAAATATAAGATTAAAGTATGAGAGTATTCATCCTTTATTTCAGCCACATTCAAGAAAGCAAAATATTTAACAAAAAGTACTATATCCAATAACAACAAAACTACAAAATAATAAAAAACATCTTGTAAAAGATATGTAAAGGTGATATGTTACAACCTTATAGTATAAAAATAATATTTTTAAAAAGCTAGAAGAGAAGATTTTTGAATTCTCAGGAATGGTCCTAAGACTTATATAAAAGAGTAAAGGCAAAAATACGTAAAACAAGTTGAAAATGTATATTAGGAAGCACTATCTGTACTTGATATCAATATTTACTATACATTTATGAGGGGACTTCAAAAAATCCATGAGAAAACAGAATATAAATATGAGTTCATTTGTGGCAGAAATTTTCGACTGGTTTCTCAAATGAGGCACAAAAAGGACAACTCTGTTGAATTTGATTGCATGCATTCACGTTCTTCATAGGAAATTTCTCTGTAGGAAAAACACCGTCATTTGGGAGCAGTGGTGCCATGCTAGGCCTAGCAGCCAATCGGGGGATGGCTCTTACAATGAGTGATGTGCTTTCACATAGAGCCGAGAAGGTGGAAAGGAAGGAAACGTTTGGTGAGCACCTACTTATCCCTGCAACAGGTGTAATGCCTGTCCTGGGAGCCTGACGCACACATTTCCATTCTTCAGGATCTCCCAAGTATATTACATGCTAAACTGGGTATTCAAGATGAACGATTTACTGAGGCCACTCAGCGAGTAAAGGGCAATAAGAAAGCCTGGGGGACCAGCACTTAGCGTAATGGCTATGTCACTGGACTCCCACGTAGCCGACCACGGTTCACGTCCCAGACCCGGTGGTTTAAAACTCACACTGGGCACGTGTGCTTGTGTGCCCAAGATCCCGAGAGGAGAATGAAGGAGAAGGGATTGCAGCGTAGCCATCCCCCCGGGGGGGTGATTTCTCACTTTCTGTCTCTCTCTCTCTGTCTGCCTGGTGAGTGCACACGCCCTATAGCAAAAACCTCTCCAAAAAAAAAAAAAGAATGCCTGGACTGGAGTCTTCAGAATCCAGGTCCTGTGTGCTTTCTTTTATTAAGTGCCTTCTTACCATCAGAGAGTATGCAATTGATTCCTTTTTATAAAAGCAAAAACAGAGAAGCTGTTTGTAGTGATTATGATTCAGAAGTCCCGCCCCCCTCTTCAAAAAAAAATATATCCAACCGTTGTACAATTCCAATATGAGCAATTATTTTCTTGGCCTGGATCACTTCTTTCTTTCCACCCCGAGTATTTGCATAGCATGATTATTCACTACAGAAACTTCTGCTCAGCTGTTCCCTCCTCAGCTCAACCTTCCTCGGGCACATTTTATAAAAGAACACATAACCCCATTTCCAGCTATCCTCATACAGTTTTCTTTTCTTCATAGTACTCATCAAGTTAACATGACAGTATCTGCACTGTTGTTCATGTCTTGCTTAATTACCAGTCTCTACTGGAATGTCAGTATTTGTGGGCAAGGACTTGGTCTGCTATTTACTTCTGCACTCTTACTCCTAAAATAGTATCTGACATGCACCAGATAATTCGATAAACTCTCCAAGCTTCCCTGACTAAAAATTCTGTCCTTGGCACCTCCACCTTCACTTTCTAGGCTCTCTTGGATCTATTTAGTTTGATTTATCAAGGGCCAAAGGTGCTTGAGTTGGGAAGAATACATCTCTTCACTGGATATTCTCAAAGAGAGATGTCTAAGCCTGGGATCGCACAATGAAACCGGGAACGAATCATGGCGAACAATTCACAGCTCTACTATAAAACAATTTCCAAAGAGAGTAAGGTTGAGAAGCCACGGTAAAAATCCATGAGCTTTATGTCAAGAAGTATTCAAGGTTAAGGAACTGAGAAACTTCTATCCTTGGATGAAGTAATCCAACCTCCTATGGTTTCATTGCATCGACCACTTAAATTCCAAGAAGGGATAAAACATGGCGTATTATCATGTTCCTCAGAGAAATTGAGTTTGTGTGAATTTCCAAAGTAAGCTAATACCAAATCAATCATGAAGCTTAATGTTTTTGCAATTAGTTATTTTTTTATCATAAAGTTTTTGTTTTAGTTTCTGTTTTAAGCTTTTGCTATTGCATGAGCTAGACAGAGAGAGAGAGAGAAAGGAAAAGTGAGAAATCATCCTTCAAGGGGGATAGTCGTGTCACAACCCCTTCACTTCCATTCTTTTTTCAGGATTTTGGATATGCACACACACATGCCCAGAGTGATTTTCAAGCCTCCAGGTCCAGGACTTGAACTATGGTCAGCCGTGTCATAATCCAGTGCCTTAAATACCATGCCACCTGCTGGCCCTTTTTCACCATATTTTAACTAATGAATACGATACTTATCTAGGCTAGAGTCATTTTTTTTTTTTTAATCTTTTGGCTGTGGGGCTAGAGAGACACTGAGAGGGAAAGTGAGAAAGCATCCCCTGGGGGGATGGGCATATTGCAATCCCTTCTCTTCTCTTCTCCTCCTAGAATTTTGAGCATGCATGCACACATACCCCATGTATGTTTCAAGTCACCAGGTCCGGGACTCAAACCGTGGTCAAGTCATATTTTTATTCTGGCTATCTCAATGTATTGTGCAATGAGCAAAATCACATACTTAAATTACTGCCATAAAACCAAGGAGCAGTCTCTTGCCATATTCTAAACCCCTGGAGGAAATAAGTCTTTGATCCCAAAGTAATCCCAGCTCTGCTATGCCAATTGATGATTTTGAAATTGGAGTTTCTGAGTGAAATGACGTCACTGGTGTCTGACTTTTCAAGCCTCAGCAGCGGTCAGCCACTTGTCATTAGTGGGAACAAGGGAGGCCAAGGGAGTAAACACGTCCTCCACTAACTTTCTGTCTCCTTGCAGGTTAATAATTCCTTCCTTTTTCTTCTGAAATCCATGAGGCAGTCTCATATATATTTTAAGGACATCAAAAATCTACCTGGGTGCACAAAAGTTTCTTCCTTTCGAACAAAGATTCTCAAAGTCCAAATCTAAAACTTAAAAAGAAAGCAAATTCTTGAGACCAGCAGTTAGCGTAATGGCTATGTCACTGAAGTCCCATATAGTCGACCGCGGTTCAAGTCCTGGACCCGGTAGCTTAAAACTCACACTGGGCACGTGTGTGTGCGTGCCCAAGATCCCAAGAGGAGAATAGAGGAAAAGGGATTGCGATGTGGCCATCACCCCCAAAGGGGGGATTTCTCGCTTTCTGTCTCTCTGTCTCTCTCTGTCTGTCTGGCAAGCGCATGCATCCTATAGCAAAAACCTCTCAAAAAGAAAAAGCAAATTCTGAGATACCACTTCACAATCACCTATAAATTATCTTATTTTTCTCCATCTTTCAACCTATATCAAGTAAAATATATAAAAAAAAAATGTAAGATCCAGTTTTCTTGGCCCTTATTGTGGAGAAATCGGCATCAAGAATAGACTTTGGTCATTTGAGGTAAGACTCTCCCTACAGACACCCACGGCAAGGAATTGACTGTTTGCAGCAATAAAGAATCTCATCTCCAGTTTTAGCAAATGCTATCAAGGGAAATCCTGTGAGTAAAATGAGGAAGTTCCGAAATAAAGCAGAGTGCAGGAATTATTAATCCAGGCAATGTTTCCTGCGTGTAGTCTATCCCCATGAACAATGAATGGAAAGAGCAGAGACAAAGGCAGAAGCAGGGAAGTTGGATAGGAAAGAACAGCATCTTTTAATGAACTCAATTCCTACTTGGTGCTAATGCTCTGCAGTAGTTTGTTGCCTAGCAAAAATCATGCATTGAGATTGGGTCACGAAGATAAGAGGTGGGGCCAGCGTGTGGCATG